AAGTTGAGCAAAGCAATTTGGCTTTCCGCCCAAAGAACGCCCAGCATAATTTCTGCTCTCCGGAGATACTCACACAGCGGAATAGAAGTACTGTCTACAATAGGTGGAACACTCTGAATGCGATCAGCAATGAACGCCGCGCCAACGAATCCGGACGAATAGATTCAGATATAATCTTCGTGTGCTCGCGTTCGAACGTCCGGAGAAAAGCGGAAAATTGTGGAGGAAAATTCGTTAGTTCACTGAGATTTACACTGAATCGCGCGTGTTGTTATTATTATTGTAGTGGAAAGTACCAACCAGAAAAAAAACCAAAGCAAAATTTTAAAGAAATTTGACGGAAAGAGAAAATTAGCGCGCAGCGTCACGGTCAACAGCGATTAATTGAAACGTGTGCAAGGCGTTCTGTAAAAAAAAAAAAAAAACACAAATGAAATACTGAGAAGTTTTTGAAAGTGAATGTACAGAAATACTTTCGTAAAAAGTAAAGGTTTGGATTGGTATATACATATACATATGTATGTATTTTATTACAAATGACAAGCAACGTGAGTGATCGGCTAAAGCAGCGTTCGACAATGGACAGACGCTAACAAATACAATTAACGAATGCGTATAACGGTACTATAGCGGGTTTATTCATAGTTTCACCTGCCTAACGTTTGTGAATGTGTGAATTCGTAGTATGTATGTATGTACATAACTAGTATGTGCACATAATTAGGATATTTATGTATGTATAAATGCATGCACGATCGTCTAAATGCAGATGACGTCACGCTGAACACTGGCCATCAAACACCGACGCACACACACTTGCGGCACATGCAAACACCGACGCACGAGTGCAATTTTATTCTGGATGTGAATATTCGAAGAATTTTGTTTATATCTGGGCTGCTCCTAAATCCATTTCGGGAACAACTACAAAGGCACTAAGCACAACAATAATCGAATTGAAGTAGTGCACTTACATACATATGTACAAACAATCGGCGGTGGGGGTCCTAAGATCGCAGAGAAAAGGCAGCCAAGTGTTGTAGAAACTTTCCGTGAAGTGCTTCTATAAAAATTATGCCATTCAAATGTGACTACTAAATAAAATTAATTACTAAATTAAAATGAAACAACATCTGCGAGCTCAATACTAAAGATTGTACTAGTTAAGCAAAACATTCCACCATAATCGTTATACAAAAATAAATATCAATTTTTCCAAATTTTCGGAGGATCCATAAATTGGATCGGCACAATTTTCAACATCAGTCAATAGCGAATTTATAGCGGTCATAAATATTGTGAGGAATTACATACATTGATGTGTGAATCAAAATATTTGTTAAAAAATATATACATACATACATATGTACATATGTACATATATTTTATTAAAATTAAAAAAGCGAACAGAGTGCGAGTGAATAAGAGCGAAACCCCTTTGTATTCTCATATTCTACTTATCGCTCCTTCGATTTCTCCTCTCCATGCGCACTTATTCTGAGAGAGATGCGAACGCGAACGAGCAAAAGAATGTGAAGTTCTGCTGGTGGTCAGTAGTGCGAGCAGGGCTGCCAACTTGGCTCATAGCGTGCCATTTTTAACCCTATTTTACTTCTAATGGCACTAATTTGTCAATTCGGCACAAAGTGTCAAAATGCCACTTTTGAAAAATAGTAATATTTTAATACATTTTTGTTAAATCCCTTGCGTCTATTTCTTTTTCTCAACTAAAATTTTCCAATTTCTAAAGTGTTTACAACCGGTTTATCTTATTTTGGCATTGGACTTTTGTTTTAGGAATATTGTTCTAATTTTAATGCTAAATGGGAAGAATTAATTTTTTGGCACTTTTTTATCCCAAAATATGGCACTACAAAGGTAGGGGTAGTTGGCAGCCCTGTGTGCGGGCGTGCGTTTCCGTCGTGTTTCTTGACTATGTTCGCAGGTAAACAAAGACACGTAACTAAACTTTAAGATTGGCGCGATCTGTACATTCTGGCGCAAAGTGTTTTTTTATGTTTGACTTGAAATTATGTTTCTTCGCTAATGAATGAAAATGCGAGAATAAGCTACTGAACTATACCCAAAGCATTTGTACAAGCGGAAATACTATGTATGTAGATATGTATAGACACGTGTCTATAAGAACTTTTCTACCACTCATTGAGGTACATATTTATTTACATCTTGGTTTTGAATAGGGATATGTGTATAGTATATGTATGCACATATGTATGTATGTATGTGTATACTCGCATGACTTGCCCGATACCGTGGCGTATGCGCAACCAAACACTTATTTCTGAGTTCCCCAGCACAACAAACAGATAGGTACTAGCTACTAGTTTTTAAAATTTTCATAAAAAAAAAACACTCTCCACTATTTGATACTCTTTAATTTTACAATTTACTGCAGCGCCAATTTTATGAAGATCAGAAGTTTTCTACCGCCGTAAAGTCTTAAATTTATGCATCCTAAAATTTTTACACATACATACATAGGTGTGTACATTTCGCACACCTAGATCTAAAGTGCAATCAACTCAAAAAAAGTCAAAAAAATACTAACAACATTTTTTTGGTTTTTTTTTTTTAGTTGATCGCACTTTATATCTAGGTGTGCGATTTGTATGTATGTTTGTAGACATGAACGCATGAATAAAATTTGGCGTGCGCATCCTTTGTGAGAATTAAACACTACGTTAAGTGCTTGATCAACGGAAATCCTCTCTTTTTTTTTGGCGATCGCACACATGGATTGGTCACAATCAAGGTCACCTCGGATAATTTAAAACTCAGATAGTAACAGCCGATTTCTCAGTTGATAAATAACTATAAGTTAACAATTAATTAGTAAATCAACAGTTAACTGCCCAATGCTGGCGAATTAACTATGAGTTAATCATCTATTAAGTTCACTGAGAACGGTAAATAATCGTTTGATTATAACTAAATATCCACTGAGAGATCGGCTGTAATACTTACGCCTATTATTGTAATTAATAGACTGCGGAAGTTTGTGCGGAAAACGGTAGCAAAATATATAAGTTTGTATATGTTTTGTTTACAGTTATGTGGTACATAGTTTTAGGCTTCGTTTTCTGCATAAAAATCCGCAGTCTAGTATTTAATTAAAATTGTTTCCATTGCAAAAGAAATTATTTATTGCCTTTTCCTAGTAGCCAAATCTCTCCGCCGTCAACTCAGATAATCCGGGACTGGAATTTTCGGTACTCAGATAATCGAGACTCTACTTTATGTATATAAGCAAATCCCACGAGTTGTTACAAAACGTCTTTTTGGTCGAAAGTAGTGGTACACCTATCCCGGAAAATCCATTACAGAAAATAATAATAATTTGTATAAAAAAAGAGAGATTCCATCGCGAAATTGTATTTAAATGAAAACTTAAAAAGCTATACATAATACTAAAAAAGTAAAAATAACCAACCACTCATCCTCATATACCCGTAGTGGCGTATGTAACGTAGCACCTAACGCAGTCATCTTAAACGTTTACCCGCACGCCTTAACTTAAAAGTCATATTTTTTAACAGTAATTAATTATTGGCATTTAATATTTTTACACAGTATTCCTTATGCTCATATACATACATACTTACATATATTACTTTCTTTATGTATATAGTTATAATGTTGTGAAAATGGAATTTTAGTTTCTCAAATAATCACTAGTTTTATTATACTAGATTCGTTCATTTTGGCAAGAAGAAAATTTTCACCGTTTAATTTTAATATTTTAGAGTATTTAAAATTATTACAAAAATTATTTAAAAAAATTTCAAAAATTTTAAAATATGTAGCTGCGACAGATATTTTGAACGCTGCTTGATTTAGTTTTTACAACTTGTGAGAGTTGCTCATAAAGCAGCTATAAATGATCAAAATTTACTACATAAATATATACATTTGCATTCCAGTCGCCCTCCCTGTCTATTTTTACCTCCAGTCCCAGCTTAAAATGTTTATCAAAACTGGGTTGGATTTATCATTTGCGTTAAAAGACTGTACCATCCAGCCTTTTTGTAGTTGTGCTGGGTCTGTTCGTATATTCGGACATGGCAATATCCCTTCGGATTTCGGCGTTCACGGGTAAAATCCGGATGCCCGGTTAATTGATTACGTTATCCGAATATCCGGATATTCTAGACAGTGTCTGAACGGATTCGTAAAATTTTTCTAAAAATTACTGAATCTATTGAGTTGTAAAATAAGTAATACTTAAAACACTTCACTAATACACATGCAATTGTTATTTTACTGCTTATTTTATATTCGAAATTTCGGAAAGTATTAATATCCAAATTTTTAGTCACATATTCGAATATCCGGATATCCGGTTATTCAAAAAACCCAGATAAATATGTGTTATAAAAGCTTCCAATTTTTAATTAACTTCATTTATTTTGAGCAACTATGTAATACCGATTTCTTAGACTTTTTATTTTAAAAGCAGTTCAACAGTTTCCAGGTGTGTTTCGAACTGTTCAGCGAATTTTATTCTGCTTCTATTGTAACTGCTCAATGTCAGCAAAAACAATTAACAAATTAATAAATATATCGAAGCGAAATTTTTTTCAAAATTTTCTTTTTGATGCATAAATGCATTTCTGCATCAAAACGACAATTTTGGAAAAAATTTCGCTTACGTTATTTTGACGGTGAGGGCTCGATATATGTACATACATACATTTTTTTGGGGGTTATAACAAGCAAATTTTTTTATGATTATATAACTAGTTGTTTGCGCTTTTTTGTCTTCCCCAATAATAAGTAATTTTGCGGGAACAGATGAATGCAATTCAGATACATACCTACATGCGTACAGCCGTATGGACATATGTACATACGTATATGTGTATAAACACATAGATGTATGCATACATGATCTTCTTGAAAATTTATTTGTCATCAATCTGTGTATTGCGCGTTAATGAGGAAGCAAATGCAAACAAAGCTATGTTAAAGCTAAGCTACTACAATTCAAGGCGAAATCTCTCTAAAGGTGAAAATTGTCAACAAAATAAACTTACAAACTGTAGCAGACTACAACAACAACAACGGCACAGAGATGATGTTTACACGCGCCCAAGTGCGCAAACCAAAATCAAATGGTCACAGCAGCAGTCAGAGACCGCAAGTGCGCACTTCCCATAGACCTCACCTTATGCAACAACAATCACTATATGGATGCGATGTAAAGTATTTTGAATCTCCCCCAACATACATATGCACGTAACTGAAATTCACAACCTCTATTTGCTATTCAAGCAGCCACTCTACAGGCATTCACCACCTGGAGGAAATAGTCGCATTCGGGATCGCGATAGAGACAGGGATCGGGACAGAGATAGGGATACGGACCGAGACCGAGACCGAGACAATGAACGCGACCGGGACTACAGTGGCGGTTACTACACCGATTGCAACAACTTCGGTGGTCACAAGCCCCATTCGTACGAACTGCCTCGACAACACTCCAAAGACAAAGCCTACGCCCAGCTGTACAATGACGAGAGCGAGCGGAGCACCAGCAGCAGTGGCGTCAATTATATAGACCGGCGCACCCGACCGCGCAGCATTACAAACCGGCGCGGCGCCATCAAACAGCTGAAGTAAGTTTTGCCCCGAAATATTTAATATAAGTACTTCTTTAATAGCTTCATTTTATTTAAAGTGATATTTACTTTTGCTGTTTATTAATTTTTTTTATTTTTGCTCATTAGAACACACGACTACAATGGGCATCGGTTTGTGGCCAAATTCTTCCGACAGCCCACATTTTGCGCATTCTGCAACCTGTTCGTTTGGGGATTCGGCAAGAAGGGGTATCAGTGCATTAGTAAGTCAATTATTTATGTTTAAAATCGGTTTAGTCATCTGAAAAACAACATCATTCCATTCATTCATTTTTGCAGCTTGTCAAACGGCGGTGCACAAGAAATGTCACGAGAAGTTGCTGAGCAAATGTTCCGGTTCCGTCTTCAACTCGGCCAGCACAATCGTAAGTGTCCTCCAAATATTATTAGACTGTAACGGTAAACGTAAAGTCGATCTCAATCTTCTAGCTGCTGCACGAGCGTTTCAAGATCGACATGCCACACCGCTTCAAGCCGTACACTTTCATGTCGCCGACTTTCTGTGACCATTGCGGTTCTCTGATGGCTGGCTTCTTCATTCAGGGGTTGAAATGCGAAGGTGAGTCGTTGCATNAACTATAGCCGCCACCGATTCGTCACTTTTTTGCATGTAAAAGCAACAACAATGTTAGCTAGCAAGGATGAACGATCTGTCCACCTATCTCGGCTAACTGTTGGCGAATCGATGACGGAAACGAAACTTTGGCACACGCAAAAAAATTTCGCAAAAATCATTGGTATGCCTAGCTAGCTACCTCAGACTTGCATATTATTTACTAAAATTGAATGGACTAAAAAAACTGCGTACCTATTTCAGTTTTTTTCTATTGAATAATTCAAATTTTAAAACCGGTATTTTGAAAATTTTAGTACAAATTTTTAGTTATTTTACGCATATCGGTGAGGGCGACACCTATTCCATTAGTAAATTGAGCACAGGTCGGTGCGACATCTGCCGATGAATAGCAGATATTTCATACCTTAACAACATTATCCAA